TTTTTGCGCCGGGGCGGCGGGGGGGGATTTGGGGGTGCGGGGCTTCGTCCCACCCGCGGCGGGGTTTTGGGGGGAAAACGGGGAAAAAGAAGACGGCGGTGGGTTTTTACCTACAGAGCAGGATTTATCTTTTTAAATAAGTTTTTTTTTGCCCCATATGGGCTCGCAGGGGGGCACCCATGGGTGCTGCACCCCGCTTTCCCCCCTGCCCTATAGCCCATCCCATCTTGGCCTCGTCCCCTTCCCCAGGGGACAGTTTTCCCACGCTGGGGACACTCCCTCCGTACCCCGCTGGGGGCTGGCGGGGTGACAGGGTCCCCAGGCCGGTGTCCCCCATTCTGGCTGTTTGCCCCTCCATCATCCCCGGGGGCCACCCAGGGAATGGGACACATCCCGGCGCTCCGTGACACAGGGGAGGGATCCCCCTCGATGTCCCCCTCGGGGTTATCCGGGAGGGAATAACTGCACCCCAGTAGTGGAAGGGGTTTCTTCCTCCCACCGGCGTCTTCATCGCAGCCGGCACCACCGGGCAACGTCCGTGGTGAAGCCGATGGGTGCTGGGTCCCCCCCGGCTGCGCCCGTCCCCATCACCCCACCGAGGCAAAGGACGAGACCACGCTGGCTTCGTTCTGACACGGGTGACCTTTAATGACAAAGAGCCCCCAAGTGCCCAAAATCCCTCCCCCTGCTTCCCAAAATATCCTCATTATCCCAATTCTAATCCGCCCCTCCCCCGGATGGACAGACGGACGGGGGATGGCAGCACCCCCGTCACCCACCGGGCTGTGCGGGGACCAGGACACCCCGGGTTAGCCCTGCCACCGTGGTTGTCACCTCTCCCATGAGGACAACGGGGTGTCCAGGTCTGCGAGCACCGGCCTCGCCTGGACCCAGGGGTGAAAGCAGGAAAATGGGGGGAAAAAGGGCAAATGGGGGGGGTTGGTCCAGGAAAGTCTCATTTTTAGGGTTCCAATGGCCGTCACCCCAATTTAGGGGTGGGGGGACGTCCCTGGTGTCTGGCAGGAGAATGCAAAGATGCTTGTTCCAATCCAGAAGATGCTTTGAATGTCGGCAGCGGCTTCATCCCGCTCCCCAGGCTGTGAAATCCCATGGGAATCACAGAGATTTGGGGGGGGGGATCCCCCAATTTTCCCCTCCTCCCCTCCATCAGCTCCCTCCTCCCTCCACCAGCATCCCTGCGGGCTCCGGCTCCGGCAGTGGGGTCCAGCTCTGCTGTGATGAACCAGGAAGGTTTTAATCCCATAACTCTGGAGCAGAGGGACCGGCAGCGATGTGACGATGCGCCTGACCCCCCCAAGTCCCCCCCGAATAAATAAGGATGTTTATATATATATAATATATATATATTTAAAACAAACGAACAAACAAACAGAGCTATCTGGGTGCTGGCGATGGAGCGAGCGGGTTAGCGGGAGGCCCGGGGCGAGGGGGGACACCGCGGGCATCTTGTCCCTGGGGTGGTCCCGTGGCGTGGCCAGGGGTCCTGGGGCCGGGGGGGCTGACAGCGCTGCGACCCCCCTGCACCCCAAAGCAGGCACACACAAAACCGGAGAGCAAGGCAGGTTCCTGGCTGTACGGCATCCTCCGGCCGGTCCCCAGGGATGCTCGTTAACACCTTCCTCCTTCGTTAGCGCCTTCCCAAGCGAACGCATCCCCCCCTCCCCATCTTCTCCATGCCCCGAAAGCGGTGTGTGTGTGTCCCCCCCAGTCCGGTGCAGTGGCCGGGGGGACGGCGGGGGGACCGGGGCTCATCCCCCCCAACCCCGAGCACACAGAGAGCAGCCGGGTTGGAGGGGAGAGGCGCTGGGGCAGGGGGGTGGCGGGGAGGGGGGTCAGGACCCCCCCACCTCTGCATATAGGGGGGCCAGCACCCCCTTTCCTCGCCGGGATGGCCCCGGGGGGGTCCACTGCTGTTCATGCTCTCCAGAGGAGGAGGTGGTTGGTGCTGTCATCCCGGCCCACCGTCTCGCTGCTGCTGGTCAGGCGGAAATCCTCGTAGCCGTCCCCGCCGCTGATCACCAGCATCTTGGGTTTGGAGAGGGTGAGGGCGGGGGCGCGGGGGCGCGACGGGTCTCGTTTCTCTGCCTCACTCGGCTTCTCAGCCCCTGCCAAGCGCAGAAGCCCAACGTGCTGTCAGATGGCCCCAGAGCTCCCCCGTTCCCCACCAGCAGCCCACCCACAGCAGCATCCCACTAGCATCATCCCAGCATCATCCCACCAGCATCATCCTACCAGCATCCCACCAGCACCATCCCAGCAACCTCCCATCAGCGCCACCCCAGCATCATCCTTCCACCAGCATCCTCCCACCAGCATCCTCCCACCAGCATCCCAACATCACCCCACCAGCAGCATCCCACCAGCAACACCCAGCATCCCACCAGCATCCTCCCAGCACCATCCCAACGTCATCCCACCAGCATCACCCCACCAGCATCGTCCCACCAGCATCGTCCTACCAACATCCCACCAGCACCATCCCATCATCATCCTTCCACCAGCATCCTCCCAGCACCATCTCAGCATCATCCCACCAGCAGCATCCCAGCATCATTCCACCAACATCATCCCAGGATCCCACCAGCATCACCGTCCCACCAGCATCATCCTCCCACCAGCATCCCACCAGCATCCTCCCAGCACCATCCCAACATCAACCCATCAGCATCACCCCAGCATCCTCCCACCAGCATCCTCTGAATGTCACCACCATTTTCCTAGGTGCCACATCTTGGCCCCAAAAAACTTCTCCCACCCCCAAGTAGCCCCTCCCACCCCAAATTAGCCCCTCCTACCCCAAATTAGCCCCTCCCACACATATTAGCCCCTCCCACCCAAATTACCACCCCACATCGCCACCTTCTCCCCATCCCACCCTGACCTCAGAGCTGGGCTGGGTGAGACGCAGCACATGGCTTTCAAGTGGCTTTTCCCCATGGGAATTAGGGTCTCCCAGGAAAATCTGGAGTCACCTGAGCGATCCCCCAACCCCTGGGAGGGCGGTTTAGCACCCAATTTCCACCTCCCCCCAGTTTTTCTGCCTGGAGTTTAACAAGGCAAGGATGGAGCCGGGACTCCGATGACCACATTTCAAGGCTACTCATTCCCGGCTCCATAAAAAACTCCTGCCCCTGGAGCAGGTCAGGATTGGGCCTCCCCCAGTCATCCCACCTACCCGTCTCCCTTGGCAATGGGAAGAGGACATCCAAGCCGTCGGGCAGCTCGATGGCGGTGAGGAAGCGGACGTGGCCGGTGTGACCCTGAGAGAGCCCCACCAACGCCGGTGCCGCCTTGGCCGAGACGGCGAGGGTCAGCACCACGCCGGCGCTGGTCCCGATCCACAGCAAGTCCTTGCACACCAGGAGAGCCGTGATCCGCAGGCAGGCTGCCTTGTGCTGCCGGATAATGGCATCCGAGCCTGTCGAGAATCCCAGCCGTCAGCGTCCCTCCCTGCCTGGCACGGGGCAGTGAACCCTGACGATGCCACCGGTCTCCGTTCCCAGGGGTATCCCGGGGATGTGGGATGCGGGAAAGGGACACCACAACCCCGCTGGCTGGTTGAAGGCACCCTTGGGTGCTGCCAGATTGGGCTCCCTGTGGGATTATGCAGTTACCCAGGGGCTGCCCTATTCCCACATGGGATTATGAAGCCATCCAGGGGATTCCCTATTACTCTGTGGGATTATGCAGATGCCCAGGGGTTTCCCTATTTCCACATGGGATTATGTAGATGCCCAGGGACTGCCTGATTTCCACATGGGATTATGCAGCCACCCAGGAGCTGCTCTATTTCTGTGTCAGATTATGAAGCCACCCAGGGGCTGTCCTATTACCCCATGGGATTATGGAGCTGCCCCAAGGGCTGCCCTGTTTCTACCTGGGATTACACACATGCCCAGGGGCTGCCCTATTTCCATGTAGGATTACGCAGATGCCCAGCGATTGCCCGATTCCTGTGTGGAATGGGACATGCACATGCCCATGGGCTGCCCTATTCCTGCATGGGATTATGAAGCCACCCAGGGGTTGCCCTATTACCCTGTGGGATTATGCAGCTGCCCAGGGGCTGCCCTATTCCTGCGTGGGATTATGAAGCCACCCAGGGCAATTCCCTGTTATCCTGTGAGATTACGCTCATGCCCAGAGGATGCCCTGTTTCCGTATGGGATTATCCATCTGCCCAGGGGCTGCCCTATTTCCCCGTGGGATTATGCAGCTGCATAACACCGAGGATGAACCCCAGGAGCGTGACAAGTCGGGTCTTCTTCCCTGAAGCTGGTCAGGATGCAGGAGATATTAAATTTCCCGGCGCTGGATGCTGCGGGGCATCGCATTTTCAAGGCAGACGATGGGCATGGGTACCCACTGGAGACAGCGACGGGCACCCACCGGAGACCTTCCAGCGGTGGGACTTACCGGCGAGCATCTTGTGTACCGGGGGGGTGATATCTGCTTCGGCCAACTGCTCGTAGCTGGTGGCGTGGTAAAGCCGGACCTGGGCGCTGCTCTGCAGCGCGACCCACACGCCGGTCCCCGAGCTCACCATGCAGGTGACGCTGCGTCCGCCATCCTGTCCCACCTGGAGCGTGTGCTGTGGGTGACAGAGCCACAGCGATGCCGCTGATGATGCCACCGATGTCCATCACTGTCCCCCCGACCTCCCGCCATTGCCCGTGGTACCTCTTGCGCCAACGTGGCGGTGTTGAGGACGATGACTCGGTTTTGGCAGCCGCTGGCCCGCCGCACCAGAGCTCCCCTGCCACTGCCACCATCTTGGTGATGGGGCTCCCCGGTGAGCCCAGGGACAGGGACTTGGAGTTTTGGGGGTCCCAGAAGCGGCCTGTGAGGATGGTGGGAGTGGGGTGGGTGGTTAAAGCATCCCAAAAAAACCCCATCTTGACCCGGCTGATGGGATGCAGTGGCTGGAGATGCCCATCTCCAGGTCCCCCATTAGAGGGGACATGAGCTGATGTCCCCAGGGGATGCCAGCGGCAGGCAGGGACCAGGAGGAGGATGCACGCTTCTGCCTGGCTCTGATTTCGGGGTCTTCAGCATCGCTTGAGGGATGTCCCTTCCCTTCCTGCAGATGCAGGGAAGCCGCCGGCACACCGAGCATCCCTCCCTGCCCGAACACCCACCCAACAGCCACTTTGGGGCTGCGTTTAACCCCCGCAGCGCCCTTTGATGGCCCCGATCCGGCCTCACCTGCCTCCCGCTGGTACACAACGAGCTCCCCATTGGCCAACGACACAAAAACCTGGTTATCCAAGTACCTGCGGGGAGAAAAACCCTTGGACAACCGGTCACAGAGCCCCACTCAGCCACCCCAAACCACCACTGTGGACATCCCAGAGCTGAAAATCTTCCCCGCTTACAAGATGCACATGACGGCAGCGGCATGTTGCATCTTCATGCTGTTCTTCCTGTTACGGATGTTGTCCGAGGACTGGTACACATGGATGCTGTGGGAGAAGAGCAAAGATTGAGGCTCAGCTGGGATCGGGGTCCACCCCATGTGTGTGTCCCCCCATCCTGGGGACGTACCAGCCATCCTCGGTGCCCAACCACATGGAGCTCTGATGGGCTTCAGGGTCAAGGCTGAGGAGGTCCTCGAGGCTGCCCCGGGTGAAGGAGCCACGGCTGGAGCGGCGCAGGGCTCGCCCGTCTGTGGGGCTCTCTCCATGCCGGTTTTGGCCGTAGGTGCCGGTGATGGGCATGAAGCCGGGTTCTTGCTCTTCCTCCGAGCTCGTCGTCTCTGCTGTTGCCTCCTTGCAGCTTGGGATGTCTTCATCTGCGGAGGAGGAGGAGGAGGAGAAGGAATGGGTCAGACTAGGACCACCCGCCACCCACCAAAGTGACTGGGAAGAGACCATGGGTCCCCTTGCGACATCAAGCCTGGGGAAGGACGTCAGGATGCTGAGCCCCAAACCCACCAGGTTTTACCCAAAGCCACCACCAGCCCCATCCCAGCATCACGGGCCTGGGCTGATGTCCCCCAGCATCTCTTTTCCCGGGATTTCCCTGGCTAAAAAGCCTCCAGCTGTGAAATTCCCTGAGGAATGCAAGGCAGAGTGGCCAAAAAGATGGAACTGCCCATCATTTTAGTAGGGCCTGTAGCAATAGGACAAGGGGTGATGGTTTTAAATTAAAAGAAGGTAGATTCAGACTAGATATAAGGAAGCAATTCTTTACGCTGAGGGTGGTGAGACACTGGCCTAGGTTGCCCAGAGAGGTGGGAGATGCCCCATCCCTGGAAACATTCAAGGCCAGGCTGGATGGGGCTGTGAGCACCCTGATCTGGTGGAAGGTGTCCCTGCTCATGGCAGGGAGGTTGGACTAGGTGACCTTTAAAGGTCCCTTCCAACCCAAACCATTCTATGATTCTATGATTTTGGGGCAAAGAAGTGTTTTTTTGCTAAGCAGAGACTCACTGCCAAAGCTGGAGGAGATGGTGGAGTGGCTGGCTTGGCTCTGCAGCGTCCCTGAGGGACTGGGCGAGGACTCATCATCTGTGTCATCGCTATCGAAGGGCACCAGCTCCCTGTTGCCGCCGTCGACCGGCTCTGAGAGCTCCAGCGACGAACCCGAGATGGAGATGTGCAGGCACGGCTGCGGCCCCGCATCCTCCGGCTGCGCCGGCATCGGCTCCGAGGAGGGGCTGCCCACCGGCTCGGCACGCTCCCTGCCGCGACGAGGGGAGGGGGGAAAGAAGCAGCTCCAGCATCGCCCCGTGCCTGCCGGCTCCGCGGTGCCGGTGGGAATGTCCTACCTATACACCCGCTTGAGACCGGGCACGGAGGCGATGCAGAGGATCCTGGCGGAGCAGACAGCGATGCACGCCTCCACCGTGGGCTCCTTACGGATGCTGAGCAAACAAACCTGCCCCACATAACCATCGCTGTTGCAAACCCAAACCTCGTGGGAGCTTTCCGGGCTGCCGTGGCTGGGAGAAGCACAAGAAAACTGCAAAGGAGCAAAAGATGGGATGAGTTGGGTCATTCGGGAATGATGCAGGAGCTCTTGGCATCCAGCCGCAAGCCCACGAGGATGAAGAGGACCGCAGCTCCCATGGGACGCTTGAACCCAGCCACCAAGTACCTGCATCCCGCTCCGCGTCTTCATGATGGGGATGGCCTTGAGGAACTCTGGGTCCAGGCAGTTTTTGCTGGAAGCTGGGAAAATCAAATTGCAGGATGAAGAAGTGATGGAGAAAAGGGCTCTACCAAAGCGGGGGCATGATGCCAAGCCCACCACTGTGTCCACCTCCCCGGTCCCTGGTGTTACCCAGCTTCTTCTTGGCATCCTCAAAGGCTTGCTCAAAGCCAAGCCGGGCATCGGGGTTGGGGAACTCAAAGATGAAGGACTCGGTGCCATCAGCTTTGGTGGTGCTGAGCTCCACCTTGTTGGGGGGGAAGGCCATGCTGAAGGACAGGGATTGCTTCTCTGCCAGCTCCCGGTGGATGGCGGCCATCAGGTCCTTGATCACATCATCCAGGTTCTGGGGATGGGGACAACGCTTCAGCTCTCAGGGATGGGCCACCACTAGCCACATGCCTGATGATGCCCTGTCCATCCCCTAGCATCCTTCAGAGGCTGCCCCAACCCCACTGTGGCTTTGGGGCTGGTAGCATCTGGGTCCTCTGAGGACACTCATGGCCACCAGCCCTTCCCCAAGCTCTCCTTCCCACCAAGGACATCCCAGTTGCTCCTCTGGGGAAGGTGCCTGGCTGGGGGACAGTGCCAGGGCCACCATGTGACGCTGACCCTGTGCATCCCCAAGCATCCTTCAGAAGCTGCCCCAAACCCCTTTGACATTTTAGGGCTGGTGGCATCTGGGATCTTTGAGGACACTCATGGCCACCAGCGCTTCCACAGGTTCTCCCACGCTGAGGACATCCCAAGTGGTCCCACGGGGAATGTGCCCAGCCAGAGGACAGCACCAGGGCCATCATCCCCATACCTGGTGGGGGAAGCTGAGGGTCTCCGACAGCTTGCTGACTTGCCCCAAAGTGCTGAGGTCTTCATCCAGGCGGCAGATGCTTTTCTGAATGCTCTCCCGGTTGGTGGCTTGCGAGGCACCTGTGTGGGGACACACGCATGGTGTTAACCCCTTCCTTCCCGCTGCCGCACAGGGGAACCTTCTCCCTGCCACCCAGGGCTGAGCGATGGGTTTTGGGGTGGGATGGGACACTCCAAAAGGCAGTGACAGACCTTTGACGATGTCCACGTCCTCCAGCGGCAGCTTCCAGAGCAGTTTGTACTTGCTGGCCGTGTCGATCACGCTGGCCGCTGTGTACCTGCGAGGTTGGGGGGGATGGCTGAGCTGCACCCACTTCCCCAGCACCCGAAAGACAGCCCAGCCGACGGGGACAGCCCTAACGCCGTGGGTTAACTGTGGTGGGTGCCCCCCAGGTGGTACTCACAGGCTCATGGAGCTGCGGCGGAGGGAGCCCGACTTGCGCTTCAATGTTGTGCAGACCAGCAGGTCCGTGAAGAGGAAGAAGGAGCGGTCCTTCTTCCCACCCACCGCCTTCTGCAGAGTGGTGGGAGACATCAAGGGGTAAACGTCCGGCCCCCCCACTGCTGACACTGGGAGCGGTCCCTGCCTCAGTTTCCCCATGCGCTGCCTTGGCACAGGGAGGCTGCGGGGTGGGACAGGTCCCACACCACCATCTGCATGGGGATTGGCTGTGTCCTCATGATGGTGAAAGGGGACATGGGTGCAACGGCCGTGTGGGCAAAGCCACAGGGTCCCACTCACGGGGAAGCAGCAGCCTCCCTAGGCACCCCTGGCCTGGGGCTGCTGCCAGGTCTCCCTGCCTCCTGCCTGCTCCCAAACACATCTTATCTTCCCACAAACACTTGGGGAATTTTATATTGTCCACATTCATCTGTCATCAATCCATCTGTCATCAATCCATCCTTCCATCTACCCATCCATCCCTCCCTCCATCCCTTCTTCCATCCTTCCATCTATCCCTCCCTCCATCCATCCATTCCTCCATCCACCCATCTTCTATCTGTCTGTACCTTCCACCCACCCACCCACCCATCCATCCATCCATCCATCCATCTGTCCATCCATCCATCTT